AAATATCTTTTTGTATTTGGAACCATTCGATAATTTTATCAAAAAAGTTACTAATTCTCTGTAATAATTTTTATTTATTGCTTGTTGTGACAACGATAAAATCTTAAATATTTTTAAAATTGCTGGCTTGAATGTAGGTACGCTTCAATCATTTATATCTTTACGACCTTTATTTAATTTTTTCTTCTTATAAATATAATCAATTAATCATCTCAGTGACATCAAACTTAAACAGCAAATTCCAGACTTGAGCAAACCAAACCCTTGTAGATAAAGATGAAAGCTTAGTCAGAAAGGCAACTAAAATTTCTGGCTAGTATTACATACATGCAGTTAGATTTTTTATTTAACTAAAATGTGATCTTTGAATTGGAGGCAAGCTGCATTTACTGTTTCCGAAACCACAACGTTACATTATTTAAACAACCCCTTAACACTGATTCATCTTGCAGCACAGATATTGATCTAAAAATATTAGCAGCATTGGCGTATAAAAAGATATTGTTATAAATATCTTTGAATATCTATATGTTGTTGGTGTAAGTTGCAAACAAAAGGGGACTAAGCACTCTACCCTGAGAAACACCACTGGCTTAACATTTGATGGATGGGAATTTACTCTAACACAAAACGTTTTTCTCTTGAAGTAGTTTTTTATCCAATTTATTATATTGTCATGAATTATATTTTTTTTATATTGAACAAGAGCCTGGAATGAGAAATTTTGTGAAAAAGCTTTCTCTAAATCCTTAGATGATTAGACATGATTTGTCAAATTTCATTGGCAGCGTAATACATAAAGGAGTTATTTTCATCATTGGCATCTTTGTCAAAACTTATAAAACAATGAGGCATGTATTCCGAGGGCCGCATAGTTGAATTTAGTTTATCTTTGAGCATCTTTTTTGGTGCACTACTACGTTACGCCACCGGATGTTTGGAATTATTATAATTTATTATCGGTGCTAACTGGAAATTACTAAGATTTTTTGCGAGTTTTCTTCAATTTAATATGCAATAAAAATTATAAACACAACACTTTGACTAACCATGTTTTTTTTAAAGCAAAAAATTTCTCCATTAGGTAACAAAATGTAAAGAAACAGAAACTCAATATTAAACAGTGAAATTAAAAAAATACAACATGTACGAACATAACATTTGTCAAAATTTATAATAAATAATTGTACAACGTTGAGACTTCAAAAAAAATTTGATTATGCAATTTGCAATATTATTTCATCATCCGTAAATATTTGAAAGTTATCCTTTTCTGTTGCGGTTATCATCAACGCAGATAAATAATCATCTGCAGTGGTAGACGGTATTTATAATTGTGAGCTTACTCAAAGCCCTTTTTGCAGAGGTACTTGATAAAACAAGAGAAGTAAATATTTTGTAAAGTATCAGCAAACTGCGGCAACCAGATAACGGATAAAAAAGTTTGAGTGGATTTATATAACTGCAATTGTTCCATTTGTTAGCGGCATTCAATTAAGTTTGTTATTTGCCATGTTGTCGACTTTCTCATCTGACTAATCAAAAAATAATCTCTAAGCTTTTTTGAAATCATTTTCTGAGTTGTCACCATGCTGTCTTCTATTTCGAAAGCTTTTACGCATCGGCTGGCTAAAAGTGTTTTGGAAAGGAATAACGAAAGTTAAAAAAAACGAATCTTGCTGAAATCCATTTTTCATGAGTTGATTCACTGTAATTAAAATTTCCTTACCGGTTATAATGTCTTCAATGGTATTAGTATCGAGAGTACCACAGAACCACATATTCAGGAGTCACGTAATCGCCTGCAGCTAGACACGTGATTCAATTTGAATTATCATGTTTCGTAAATAAATTAAATAGTGGTTTAATTGACAGTTTATAAAAAAATTTTATAAATCTTTTTATTTACAACTTTACAAACTTTAACCCCAAAAACAACAGGGTTAGGATGAATAACTGGATTTCAAAACATTGAATTCACTTTTAAACTGTAAATATATTAACGGCTTATTAATGCACACTTTAAATTTTGTTTTTAGGGGTTTATACATTGTCAGAACCTTGTTCGCTTTTGGTTCATTTATTAAATAATTTTAAAAAATTCTTTAATTTTTTTAAATTAGCATTGATTCGCTAATTCGTAATGGGATGACTTTTCTTTAGATATATTTTAGTTTATAAAGGGAGGTTAAGAAATCTGTAGCAGTTTGGAACAGGAGGAGAAAGGTCAAAAAACAAAGAAGCTTTCTATTATAGACTTAATCAAGTTAATTAGACAAAATTTTCGATATAGTGTTTGTGGTAATGAATAATGATTCTGTGTTTGGTTACTTGTTTATTTTAGAAACGTTATTGGATAGATTAGCATACATGTGCGTGCATGTGCACATGTTATTGCTGGACGTCAAATATCATGAAAAGTCATCTGTATAACATTAAAAGTTTTGATCGCTTTAATTTTATAACCATGTGATTATTATATACTTTGATAATTGTTTTATTTAAGCTTTTTTTTCATTTTTTAGTTTATTGAATTTCGCTTGGGTTTGAAAAAAAAATGTTTTCCCAAACATGAGACAAACGATTCTTTTACAAAAATATATGCATATATTTGTTAAATAAATTACATGATAAATAAATCATTTTGGTTTGTTCATAGCATGAGATCTGCTAGACGGGTATGTTATTTATCATGGGCATAGTTCACTTTTCGTTCAACTAAATCATTGCAAATGTGCTTACGATTGACCATAAATCAAATTATAATTGATTCCATTATCTGAAAACTTAAATAACCGGGTAGATAAATATTTGACCGCCAACGATTTCGCATTTTCTAAAAATATATGAAAATTTGAAAAACAATGAACGTTTAAAATAGTTGACACAATTTAAATACAAACATAAACAAGCGTTAACAAATATGAAAAAACATGAACGAGTATGAACACACGTAACGAGTATGAACAATCAAACGTGAACGAGTATGAACAAACATGATGAAGTATGAACAAACAAAAACAAACATGATCAGCAAGCAGGAACATTGAACATAAATGAAAATGCACAAACCTGAAGAAATTATATCTGAAAAAAAAAACAAATCAGTAAATCAGTCAATGACCGTATAATTCAATGAAGAGAGATAATAATAAAATAAGAGGGTTATGAAAAAAAATAATAATTTTTACAACAGATAACGTTGTGTATTAAACATCATGGATACATCAATTAAATTATTCATTTAAAAACTCACTCAAGTAAATTTTATAGATAGAGCAAGATTGAAAAATAATATTACAAGAAAAAGAAATAGACGCAAGGAATGATTAATGTAGGAGCGGATTGATTTATATGTTGGCATGGATGTGAATCTGTTTTGTTTAGCGCGCAGTCTAATAACAATTACTGTTCGCCTGCGTGTTGTCGTGTGTGTCTTCTTATTACCTCAACGTTACACTTTCATTGCATCAAATTTCTTTTAAAAATTTTATTTTAAAACAAAACAAAATTTTTTGGCAAATTTTATAATTAGAAAAATCTTATAGGAACAAAATGTTAATTTTTTCACAAAACATTGTTAATCAAGTTTTAAGTTTTTTATCGATATGTTGAATATATCAACTCGAACTGGCCAAAATATTAAAAAGTTCATAATATATTTTACCAGTCTAATGTTGTTTCTATTAATACTAACACTTTAATTTGGCTTTTTGCAAAAATTAAATCAAAACCAATTTAGTTACTACAAGTTTTATAAATTTTAGTTATATTAATCCAACTAACAAAAAAGAAGAGTCATTGATTCATTTATGAATTTTTCTTTTTGTTGTTAATTTGAATGTTTTATATTCTATTAATATTTAATATAGTCTCATACAATATCATCTGCTTACAACATCTTCATCAACGATATTATCATCCACATTTCTACAACATCATCAACATATTATGTACTCATCAATCCCAATAACATCAAGTGTCCAACCGAAACTAGAATTTTTGTTTTTCATCGTGGCTTTCAAAAATTTTGAAATATGGATCGTATAATATCTAAAGGTAGCACATTTTCGCATGCAATCAACATGAGTCGGATCAAAAAACTAGTAAAAACAAAATACACGATAATTCATTGGCAAAATATTTTGATAAATTATAAAAAAGTATATAAATATTTTTGATATTCAAAATTGAAAAATCTTAAGTTTTATAAGAGAAATCTAATTTTTCTGAGCCGGATTTATGATTTGAGCTGAATTTTTTGTAACTCAAGTTTGAATGTAGTTGTATTTATGTATCTGTTTGTGCATATTTGTACATACTCATGTATGCACGCGATTACAAATTGCACATTTATTTGTTCACAAGCGAACATGTATGTAAGTGTATATTATTAATCGCTAAACGATGAGCGCATTGTATATATGCAAAATTATTTGAAGCGTGAAGAATTACGATTGTGTCTCTTGGAACATCTGATTGATTTAAATTATCATAACTACTTTTAAACTACCAGACTCCAACAACAAGCACTATCAATGAAAAATTTGTTTTTCGAAATGTGTTTGATTGGGTGGTGTTTACAACCTTCTGTAGTTTACAATCCAAAAATTACAAATGCAGCAAAGATAACAATTATTAAATAATGAATAATATAGCGCAATTTGATCATTTCCGCTGTTATAACATTAACCCCCACCTTAGCCTGTTAGTCCCTAGCATAGGCGTTGCTTTTTTATTTTGGTAAATAGGAATAATCTATTCAAATGGACAACTTTCATTTTTGATCATCTTCCATCATTTTTCCCATTATCATAAATTCTGTAGATCACGTCATTTATTTTGTTAGTGATCTCGTACCGACCTTTCCAATCCCTTGGGAGATTTGCCGGGTATTTTTTGTACCGATCTTTCCAATTACTTGGGAGTTTCCCGGGCATTTTTTTTTGTGAGTAAGTTGTAAAATCAGACTATGTCTTTGCTCTTGATACTTGCGTTATTTATTTTTGTCTCACGCCTCGTTTCCGTTGTTCCGGCTCCTCTAGTAATAGGCAAGTCATATTTTTTCTATTGAGTTTACAAGGTGTAAAATGACCAGACCGGTAACTTTGATGCATGTTGTAATTGTTGTTGACATATTTCTTGTCGATCAGTGATGCAGCAATGCAAAACTCATTCTCATCAGCAATGAAGCCATCGTTGATGTTATCATCCAAGTAGAAGAAAATCAAGCTTTTCTTCCAGGAGCTTGTTGGAGGCGTTATCTGAAAACTTGAATCATCGTCTGTTACCAATTCGTGTCCTGAATGATCATTCGCACCAGCATCAATCTCAAAAACATCGTTAACCATTATATCACCGTTATCGCTGTTAGAAAGGAAATCAAGCGAGTTGCTGGCAGCAAGATCCGACTGGTAGTCCCGTTGCATATCAAAAGTTTCCATGTCTTTGTCGCAGTTAACTTCTTGAAAATTTTTAACAGCTTTATTATTACGGTAACTTTCCTTCTCCACGAGACCACGACAACACGTGCATCGCAGATGTGATATCAGTGTGTCGCAGTCAAAAATCATCCGTAAATGGGTAAGCCGGTAGAATAATTCTAGGTTCTTTTATAGCCGTTGCTGGTGTAATTAGGTACATTTTTTGTTTCTCCGGTTTGTAGTTTGTATTGTTTTCGAAAGTCACTTTGTTAGGTGCTGTTCTTCCATTGGATCTCGTAATTCGGCTTTTTATTCGGCTATCAGATTTTTTTCAGGATCCAGAAATTCAAACTCTTCAAGATTGTTACTTTCGTTTATTAGAGCGTCTCTTAGGCGGTTTATCAAAACTGCCTTTGCTACATTCGAATCGTGGTTTCGTTATCGTAATTTCTTCCTCAGATTTGTTGTATCGAGTTTTTCTAATGTTGGCACTCTTTATTGCAGAAAAATTTCAATCTATCAAAAATCTTATTTCTGACACCAATGCTGTAACCTTTGACTCTCGTAACTACCAAAACCAATGTTATAACTTCAAAGATTTCCATATTTCCAACCTCAGTTTGTAGCTTCCAACCATCGTCAAGTGTTCGTTATTCCGTAGGTTTAAGATTTCCGATAGATGAACACAGATGAAACCTGACTCTAAACCTGACTACGCAGGAAACATATATAGTCTAGATTTTTAGCATAGATACAATATTTTTTACAACCCTTTGTATTTTACAATCTAAAAATTACAAATATAGCAAAAATATAACAATAATCAAATAATAAATAATATAGCGCAATTTGATCATTCCGGCGGTTATAACAATATTTTCTTGATTCAATACCTAATTTTTGCAAGTCTCAATAACCGTTATATATTTTGATAGAAGTACATTATACATTTTTGTTGAGCTGGTTAATAATAATTAACGGTTTTCAAAACTTTATTCTTACTTGGCATTTAAAGTTTTTTATGGCTGTTAATTATAATCGTTTCTGTTAGGCTGGAAAATGTTCTATTGTGTGTAAGATTTGCTTTACTATTTTTATTAATAACGATTAAATTTTGCAACCGTGAAATTGTTTACTGCAAAGTACTGAAATATAGACAAGTTAAACAAAAAATATGCATCTACAATTAAATTTTAAAAATAAAAATGCAAATCGTTGGCAGCGAATGAAAAATTAGCAGATTCTAAGTATTCAGTCACAGTACTACTTCTCAAGAAAGGTGATGGATGTGACCTAGAATATTATAAATCAATTAATCTAACAAGCAACATATGCAAGATGCGGAAAAAATTATTAAAAAAATTGTGGTGAATTTGGCAAATTAACAAAAATGTAATTGTGAAGTTTTATAGTTTTTATGCTTTTTTGAATAATTCAAATTTGTTTCCTTTTATTTTGTCGTTAATCATAAACTCAAATATGTTGCTGCTTTCAAATCATCTTTCACAGTCACGATTTGATATCATTAAATTAATTCCATTCTCTTTCTATTTTTTCTAAGGTTGTCACACCATAATTTTTAATCTGTCCTTTGCATGCTATCTGGATACAATAACATCTATTAATCATTTTCGTTGCTGTTCTTTGAATTTTGTCAAGCATATTGTTGTTTTTTGCAAATTAAGTATTTAAAGCTGAGCCCAGTACTTCAACTTAGGTCGGACTGCATGACTGCACATTTGTCAACGTTAAACATCATTTACCAGTATTTTAAAACATCACATGTTAGCCTTTCAATGTTTTCGTCTTTGTTGATTACGGCAAATAATTTAGTGTCATCAGCAGACTTTAAAATTTTCGACATTATTTATTATGTCAATGTCATTAATAAATATTACAAATTGCAAAAATTTTAAAACAGATTTTTGAAAAAAATCTATTGTAATCTTGCCCCATTTTGAAAACTTTCCACTTAGGCCCACTTTTCGTTGTCTGTTTTGTAACCAGTTTGAGATCCATTTTAGTATGTTTCTAATTTTATTGTCAAATGCTTGCATGCTAGCGTGGAAGCCATTTCAACAGTGAGAAAAGGTCAAATGTGGCGAATAAACCAAATAATGTAATTACATATTTTGATGAGGGCAGAAATGTGAGCTTTTAAAAGATGGGTCAAAAGTAACACAAAGCAGTTTAAAACTTGTTGATATAGACAGGTTTGATTCAGCAATTGACGTGCTAGAGGGCGGAGAACATTTCATGAGTTGCTGCAGTGTGCCAAAAAACATTTAAGATTTTTGGGCATTTAGTTGAAAGAAATTAAGTAAATGCCAGTCCTTTTTTGATGAGACAAAAGAGTTATGTCTATCAAGTTGAGAAGAGATATTTCGGTGAGAGATTTCAGATACTCTGCTTGTGTCTAGAAGCGTAGCTAAGGAGAGCGGGGGTACATATGTCCCCGGGCGCCAAGTACAGGGGGCGTCAAAATGAGGCTGACAAAATTTTCACAACAAGAGTAAAAATCATACCACAAGCAAAAAAAAAATGAAAAATATTATTTATTTACCAAAAAACTTGACATGTCAAAATAAACGATAAAAATCAAAAATATGAAGTATTAATAAATGTCGTGATAAATTTTGACTTCCCATTTTTTAACACATAACAACGCTACTATTGAAATAAAGAGCACCGTTTCCATGTAAAATGTACTGTTTCGAATTTGATTTAAAAGTAAACAAAGACGTAGAAACGGCTTAAACTCTTTTAAAGTACAGTAAGCTACAAATTTTATTGACAACCGCAGTTTCATTTGCAAGCTGTTAGCGATTATTTGGAAAATTGAAACTTATTTTATCGTATCTGCGTCCATCAATGGTACAAGATCTTCTCAGTGATCTTGGTCTTCTCTGTGTTGAAAGAGAAACATTGGAAATGACAGATTTAAATAATATAATTGATCAGTTTGCGACAATGAAATCTAGAAAAATAAATCTATTTTAAACAACGTAAATTATCTTTGACAGTGATTGAATCATATGTTATAATTTGTATATTTATGTTTTATCTTTAAATACAATGTTCCATTAAAATTTGATTTGTTTTTGTTAAAAGTAATTTTTACAATGTTAATGTAATAAAAAATGTGATAAAACATGGAGAGGAGGCGCCAATTTTATAGTTTTTCCCCGGTCCAAAATATCCTGACTACGCCTCTGCTTTGTCATCGGCATATTGATGGAAAGATAAGCTATAATTATTAAAAGTGTCAGATAAGGGACTAGTATAAATAATGAAAAGCATTGGTCCTAATACAGAGCCCTGAGGGGCTCCGGTAGATAAACAAAAACAGAGGAGACTTGTGTGCCAAGTTTAATAAAGATTATGTTCAAGTTGTAAAAGCCATTATATATTTTGTTATTTTTATTTCATCGATTATAACAAACATCGACAAGAGACCAAACACAACTTACCTTTTTAAATCGAAATATTATAAAATTGCACTACAAATATTTGGCCTTCATAATCTCCAGAAAAATTGTTCTTATAAATAAATAAAAATATTTTGAAATGTTGGTGAAACTGCGCTTTAAGATAAGTTATAATGTAAGAATAGAATAAGGTTCACCACAATAAAATTGATAAAGAAAATATGATTTTGAATAAGCAATGACAGTGAATTTGTTAATAAAAGAAAAAAGTGTTGTTGATATAGTGACGTCCACAATGTTGTTGTTGATGACGATGATATTAATATCATCAGGTGTGAGCAGCAATTTTTTGCAGTAACTCTCTTTTTATGAAGTTCTTCAAAATAGTTCAGCAGAGTGCATGTGTTTCAATGAACGTTGTGTCATCTTGATATATTCTGCAAGATAGTGAAGTAAGTCATACAAAACTAAAAAGCACACACATGATGACATACCCATGCAAAAGACTTCGCGTGGAACGATCTTGTTCTTGCAAATACGTAAGTACTCTTCCATGCATGGACTACTCTAAAAATTGTATAGAAGTCTGTCTTTCATACAACTGTTTTGCGCAGTTTGAAAATGAATAACAGTTTATATATTTAAAATCAGTGTTGTTGATTGGCGTAACGTGTGTGTGATGAGATGAAACATGTACGATTGGATGGTGTCGTTTGGTGCATTCAGTGCATTTAAACGAAGAAACATATCAGTCAAAAAGTGAGGACATTCATCGAGTGCAATATTTTTGTTGCACTCTATAAATTACAGTTGTTATTGTTATTATTGTTAGTATCACTATTACTAAGAATTTTTTCTTTAAAACGCTGTTGAGGTTATAGTGTCAGGTTTTGTTATTTTATATGTTGATGGATAATTTTGTCATTTTTGTCGTTTATAATGTTCTTGTTGTAGTAGTTGTTGCTGTTGTTTTTTTTCTTGTTGTTGTTGTGTTGATGTCATTGTTATGTTGATGTTGCTGTAATGTTGATGGAGTCGTTAAGTTAATCATTTGTTGTTGTTATGTTAAACTTGTGCTTTCCATGTTGTTGTGTTTGAAATGGTCTCGATGATTTATTAACAGTAAGTGGTTGGCAGGTTTTAATTTTTATCTGTATTTACAATGTGTGTAAAAACATTAGATACAAAAATTCAAGCAAGTCTGCAAATACGCGCTTGTACAATTATATGTCAACATGCACACACAATTCGCATGCATAAATCATCGTTGACATACACCGTTGGGTTGTGACAAGACAGTGTTTTTCTTAAAAACGAGACAAGACAAAGACATTGAGAGCTCAAGAAAAGATCGAGAAGAGATCTTTAAAGAAGATGTCTCGAGGCATCCGTGGGCAAGACAAAAAATTTGAAACAAAAACGAGACAAAAACAAAGACGTCAAAATTAAAAAAATTCTTTAGATTTAAAAAAAAGGTCAGATTTGAGCTGGATTTTTGTCACCTAAGTTTGAAAATCAATACACATAATTATATTTATTAGTTTATCTGTGTGTGTTTGTGTATACACGTGTATTTGTGCGTGTATTTGTGCATGTACATGTACCTATTGAACGTTTCCTTGTTTACATGTAGCATCTAGCATGTGAACATGTAAGTGTATATTAACCAATGATATGAAGCACGAAGAACTACAATTGTCTCGTTTGGATCTAATTGACGAGACTACCATGATTGTCGTAATCATGATTATGTGGGTTGTGACAAGACAGTGTTTTTTTAAAAACGAGACAAGACAAAGACATTGAAAGTTCAAGAAAATATCGAGAGGAGATCTCGAGACATGTCTTTTAAATTACCATTAACAGACATTAACAATAGGCATAATGTTATATCATTACCTATTCGACATATTTATATTTAATAATATAGTGTAATGACGTAATCATGATTAAATCATTACCAGCTCGACGTTTTAATACTAACTTAAAAAACAATAAAAAACAAGGAAATGGCAACAACAAAGATGAAGAATACGACTCCAAATAAGTAACCCACTTTGCTAAGTAACTAACTTTGCTTTGTTTAAAGAAACTATAAGAACCAAAGCTGCACTGAAGATGATTTGTGAAAAATCAAAATAAGGTCTGACTGCATGATAAATTTGGAAAACAACAATTATATTAAATTTTCATGATGAACTTGGATAATAATTCTATTTTCAATAAACTGCACAATTTTCAGAAAATATTCTTATAAGGAAAATTGGAAATTGTTTAATGCCAACAATTCGGTAGAATTCATACAACGCTGTATAATATATATATATATATATATATATATATATATATAATGATGTGTGTGTGTGTGTTTGTGGTTTATATGTGTGTTTTGTGTATACACGCGTATTTGTACGCGTATTTGTGCATGTGCATGTACCTATTGAACGTTTCCTTGTTTACATGTAACATCTACGTGTTTACATGTGAACATGTAAGTGTATATTAACCAATGAACGTATTATATATATGCAAAATGATATGAAGCACGAAGAACTACAATTGTCTCGTTTGGACCATCTGATTGACGTGTGTGTTTGTGTGTGTGTTTGTGTGTGTGTGTGTGTGTGTGTGTGTGTGCGTGTGTGTGTGTTTGATAAAAAGTTGTTACATTTGTTATGCATAGAAATGTGTATAATTGATATGCACTGAATGTTGTGCACTCGGTGACTTCAACTCAACTTGATTCGACCTAAAAGAGTTCTTAACATACTTGCAACAACTGCTATCTCGAATCAATTGTTAGAATTGTTAGAAGCACTCGAACGTCTTCATTTTTATTTACTCTTATTTATTGTTATGCACTCCATGTACGCTGAAGGATGTTAAATACTTTTAAAATCGTTCCTTGGGGTGTTGTCATTTATTCAACTCGCGTTCAACCTTAGCAAGACCAACTAATTTTAAAAAATAAATTAACAGCGACAATAATATCAACAACATAAAACAACGCAGAACAACACAGAACAACACAAAACAGTAGGACAAATAACAACACAGAACAACACAAAGCAGCGGAACACATGACAACACAGGACAACACTAAAACAGCAAAACATAAAACAACACAGGACAACACAAGACAACACAAAACAGCACAAAACAACACAGAACAATAAAGAAAATGAAGCACAACTTGATAAAAAAACAATTAAAAACGATTGAAAACACTCGATGAAAGAATAAAATTATAGATTCCCACAAAATGTTTGAAAGTTCAACCAGTAAATAAACTTGTTGTAGTGCGAAACAAGAACATGAATAATAATATAAAAAACGCAGTAGGAACAGTTAACTATAATCAACATAACAGCTGTTACATTACAATACAACTACAGTAGAAATAACCACAAAACACTGAAATTTAATGTTGCTTATCAATTTCAATACTTTCTAGTATGTTATTATTATTGTTATTTTGTTTTCAACATACTGAAATATATTTCATATGCCCTCCCACTATACGCACCTGTGCATGTGATTGTGTTTGAGCAGGCTTGCATGTCAATGCATATGTGTGTACGTGTGCCTTTTTGTCTCAGTTCTTTGGTTTGAGAAAGTGAACATTAAAAACCTTTCCTAAATCTTTCGTTAAATTGAAACTGGACCACTTACACTAAAAAGTAGTTACTAGAAAAAATATTTTTATACAAATTTAACCGCTACAAAGGGTTAATAATTAATGAATCAAAAAATTTATCTTATGTATAGCACATGTCCATGATATGCAAAACACACATGCACTCATATACACATATACACACAGATGCATACTCATGCACGCACGCACACACACACACCCTCTTATGCATTTACATCCACATACTTGCATGGATATGCATGCACATATATGCAAGCACACACACATGCAAATGCATTTATATACATGAACACACATGCAAGCACACGCGTGCATACATATATTAATACATGTATACACACGTATACAAACGCACAAAAACATGCAAATATCATACAGATGCACACATACAGACATGATTAAACATGCACAATTTACACATACACACACACACACACACACACACACAAACATACATACATACATACATACATTGGAATACATGTTGGAATGCATTGGAATGCTGCCGGAGCGATTTGGTGGGCTGGGGCTGCTTAGCGTGGTTCAGCTGGCTCCAGTTGTTTATAATTCTTCTGCCGCTGCCACTCTCGACCTGCAGTCTTCCCTGCTTCACCAGTTTTTTCGTTGCCGCGATATTCTTCCCCCAGTGACCGCCCCGGGGGACCGTACGCACGTCCAAATTTTGAACGAAGAATATAAAAAGATCTTTCAAAATTTGTTGCTTCATGCGGCGACGACTTTTCCACCGCTCGTTTGTTAGCCATGTCCAGCGTTGCCAGCTGTGGGTGGTTGAGATCGTGGCCCAACACCTCTGTGGGCACCAGGCTTGACGACGAGTCTGTGAGATTTGCCATTGGTTTCAGACTTGGCCTGGTCATTCAAAATAAATACACGTGCCGATGTGGCGCTGGGGCGGACGAGTTTGGGCACCACGGTTTGGTTTGTCGCCTGGGTGGAAGCCGTCAACTACGTCACTCAGCATTAAACGACTACATTTGTCGGCTCTTCTCCAAGGCTTCAATCCCAGTTCTCAAGGAACCATCCGGCATTTCTGCGCATGATGGTAGGCGCCCGGACGGATGCACACTGATACCTTGGTGAGCCGGTAAATATTTGGCGTGGGATGCTACGGTCCCTGGCACCCTTGCCGAACGATATGTAAACCTGACAAGTAAAGAATACGGTTTGTCCGCGGCCAGGGCAGCGGACGAGAAAATGAAAAAATATGAGAACGCCCTCCCCTCGATGGACTTTTTGCCAATATGTGTCGAGGTTTTTTAAGGCAATATGTGCAATTAACGACAAATCAAAGTGTTAATCCATTTGTTACTTGATGTTTGACGGTTCAGTGTCAATCATCATGTTTTGGTTTTAACATACATACATACATACATACATACATACATACATACATACATACATACATACATACATACATACATACATACATACATACATACATACATACATACATACATACATACATATATACGTATATACATACATACATACATACATACATACATACATACATTCATACATTTCAGATATTAAGATTTTTCCCAGTGGGACTTTTTCAGACCATAGTTTAATTCAGGTTAATATACCATTAACTCATAAGCGTCCTAAAATAGTCAAGAAACAAGTTAGATCCTGGAAATACCTAAATGAAATAGACTTCTCCATTATCAAGGTCTTGCCAAAGCAATAATATTAATATTGAGTTTGATATGATGAGTTCTGAACTCAGGAAATTGGCTGATGCAGTTGCTCCACTTCGTTTTGCAGAAGTCAGATGTGATGTTAATGCTCCATGGTATGATGGTGAATGTAAATCTTTCAAAAGACTTTGTCGAAAGAAAGAAAGAAAGAAATTACAGAAAATATCAGACAGAGAAATGTAAAAATGAGTGGATAGCAGCTCTGAAAAATAAATCTAGGCTTTTTTCACAAAAAAGAAGCATTTTTTGGAAAAGACTTGTTGCAGACAATAGTGGATCTTCTAAAATTCTATGGAATGTTATTAATAAAGTCCTTTGTAATCAGGTCACTGGTCAGTCATTGAGTGAAATTGTTGGTTTAGATTCGTCTCAATTCTTAAAGTTTTTTAATGATAAAGTAAATAAAATTAAACAGTCTACCAATGTGAGTAATTGTCCGACTATTTGTCAAGCTCAGTACAATAGGAATTGTTCTTTTCCTGACTTTATGCTTTTAACAGAATCTGACGTTAAAAAAATTGTACTCAGTTTGCCATCAAAAACATGTATGATAGATGTCTTTCCGACCCATATTTTAAAGAAATATATTGATTTATTCATCGTTTTTCTTACCAGTATCTTAAATCTTAGTCTGAGCAGTGGCACATTTCCTAATGGTTGTAAGCATGCTATGGTTTATCCAGTTTTAAAGAAAGTGAATATGGATCGAAATGATTTGTCTAGTTATAGACCAATTTCCAACATCTGTTTCATTTCCAAGATATTTGAACGAGTGGCTGCCAAACAGCTCTTGAATCATTTGAATGTAAACAACCTGCTACCAGTTCACCAATCTGGATATCGCCGCTATCATTCAACAAAAACTGCGCTGCTTTATGTGTTTTCTGAGTTGTTTGCTGCTTTGGACAAACAACATGTGGCTCTAGTCGCGTTTTTAGATATGAGTGCGGCATTTGATTGTGTAGACCATCAGATTCTCTTGGAAAAATTGGTTCATGATTATGTTATTTCCGGTACTGTTATCAAATGGTTCAGATCATATCTGTTTGACAGAAAGCAACAGGTAGTTTTCAATAATGTGTTATCAAATGAAACGGTTTTGACATCAGGAGTGCCACAAGGTTCAGTGCTTGGGCCTATTCTTTTTATCATGTATACCGCTGAAGTTTTTAAAGTAATTGGTAATTTCGGTTTTAAATATCATGCCTATGCTGATGATATTCAGATTATAGTTAATAATAAGCCAGAATTACTAAAATTTGAAATCAACAAACTTGTAACCTGCCTAAATAACATTGAAAATTGGATGTCAAACAATGGTCTTAGATTAAATCAGCAGAAGTCAAAATTTGTTCCAATAGGTACATGGCAGCAGCTGATAAAGCTTAATATCGATTCAGTGAAAATAGGAGATGTTAAAATAGAATTTAGTGACAAAGCAACTAATCTGGGTTTCATTCTTGATTCTAGATTATCGATGCATGATCATATAAAGATGACAACAAATTCATGCTCCGGACAGATTTGAGAACTCTATAAACTCCATAAGTCATTAGATAAATCTGCTATTCATACCTTGGTGCATGCATTGGTTCATTCACGATTGGACTATTGCAGTAGTCTGTTTTACGGTTTGCCAGATAGGTCTATTTCTGCAATTCAATCTATTCAGAATAGAGCAGCTAAATTGATTGTTGGAGGTTTCAAATTCAACCATGTTACGCCAATTCTTAAGGGCCTTCATTGGCTTACTATAAAGAAAAGAATTAAATATAAAATATGTATTTTAATGTATAAAACTGTGCATGGTTTGTTACCAAGTTATTTGATAGATAAAATAAAAAAAAAGTCTATAATGATGAGTGGTATGAACCTTAGATCAGATGATGGCATTTTGCTGGTTGTACCTGATGTCAATCTGCAAATAGCATCAAGAGATTTTGCAGTATCTGGACCAATGGTTTGGAACAGCTTACCGAGATCTTTTAGAACTAAAGATTTGAAACTTGATGATTTTAAAAAGAAACTTAAAACTTACTTATTTTCGCTTTGATTTTGTTGTTAAGTGAATAATTATTTGCTTGTTACTACCGCCATTGACTGTACTTTTTTTTCTTTTTTGACTTTGTTTGATTATAAATAGCGCTTTTGAGAACTTTTTGATTTTAATTAGCGCTTATAAATGTTTCATAAATAATAATAATACATACATACATACATACATACATACATACATACATACATACATACATACATACATACATACATACATACATACATACATACATACATACATACATACATACATACATACATACGTCCTTCATAAACCTGCCAGAGGGGGACGCCGGGTCAACCAAGGCAACCAGATTAACAAGCGTCTGTCCGAATACTCCACGATTGAGGTTACGTCTCTGCTCTCGGGTTTTGAAAACCACATCAACGCAAATCCACGCGGCCACAACCCTGACCGGTGGATAAATGCGGTGTCTTCTTGCATAGAGCAGGGAAACGTTTCAGCAGCCGTCAGACTTGTCTGCTCGCCCGAGGGCCTGGCAGAACACACGCCTGAAACCTTAGAAAAACTACGGTTCATACATCCAAAAACACCAACTGACAGGCGTGCTTTTCCTGCGCAGGAACCAACAAGTGCTTGCTCGCTTCTTCGCTTGGCTATCACACTTGGGTGGTTGAATCGTCCGAGGGCGTGCAACAGGGTGATCCACTGGGACCTCTTCTATTTGCATTGACCCTGCATCCCTTGTTGGAAAAACTGTCGTCCGTTTTCATTTGTGGCTACCTGGACGACATCAGCATTGCTCCAAAAGCCAAACACTGGCCGAAAACTACGAATTTTTGAAAAACGAAGCCAACACCATTGGGCTAGAGTTAAACACCAATAAATGTGAACTCTATTTTAAAGATTCACTACATTTGCCACCGGTGTTGGCGGACGTACCCATTGTTCAAAAATTAAATTTAAGTTTTTTGGGCACACCCTTGTTCGAGGGCGACTCCCAAATTAAATTTTTTGATAAAAAGTTTTCAAAACTTAAGTTCGTCCTCGACCGAGTGTCTCATCTTTCCGTCCACGACGCCCTGACTATTGTCCGAAGCGCCCTCAGTTTGCCCAAAATGATGTATTTTTTTCGTATATCCAGCTACATCAACCCATCGTTGTTGGGCAGATTTGATGATGTTTTGCGTACCGCCTTGTCAGCCATTTGCAATGTTCATTTGACTGACAGTGGCTGGTCCCAGGCTCAGCTGCAGGTGCGGTATGGTGGTCTGGGGTTACTCAGTGTAGTTCAGTTGGCACCAATCGTCTATAAATCTTCTGCCGCTGCCACTCTTGACCTCCAGTCCGCCTTGCTTTGCCGATTTTGTTGTTGCTATGACATCCCATCACTGCCGACCACACCTGAAAGCCCTTCACAAGCTCAAACTTTAGATGAGCAATATAAGAAGACTTTTCATGAACTTCTGTCTTCTGGTGTCGGTGCTTCTTCCTCCGCCCGCTTATTGGCTGCAACTAGTGATGTTAGTTGTGGTTGGTTGAGGTCGTGACCCAGCACTTCCGTAGGCACCAGACTCGATGACGAGTCTGTTAGATTTGCCGTTGGTTTCAGACTTGGCCTAAGTATACAAAATAAATATCTGTGTCGTTGCGGCGCGGAGGCGGACGAATTTGGTCATCATGGTTTGGTTTGCCGTTTAGGTGGAGGCCGTCAACTTTGTCATTCAGCTTTGAATGATTACATTTGCCGGCTTTTTTCTAAAGCTTCTATTCCTGTTTTGAAGGAACCATCTGGCATTTCAGTGCAAGATGGCAAGCGACCAGACGGTTGTACTCTTACTCCCTGGAGAGCCGGTAAATGTTTGGCTTGGGATGTTACGGTTCCTGGTACCTTGGCCGAGCGCTACGTTCACCTTACCAGCAAAGAATGTGGTTTGGCTACAATCAGGGCATCGGACAAAAAAATTAAAAAATATGAACACGCCCTGCCTTCCTTAGATTTTTGCCAATATGTATCGAGGTCCTTGGACCCATAGACCCCAATACTTCAAAATTTATTAAAACATTGTGTAAAATGATTGGTGTTCGGTCAGGTGACAACAGAGAGTTCCTTTTTGCAATAAACCACATCTCGTGTTTGTTGCAGCGATTTCTGCGTGTTTGTGTGTCGGAAAATATTAATTTAAACGCCGACGTGTGAGACTAACGATACATTAAAGTGTTAACCCTTTTAATCAGATGTTTGACTGTTTTTTCACTGAGGAGTGCTGTTGAAAATCGCGGAAATATCTGATTGACTGACTGACTGATTGGTTGTGAATTTCCAGCAAAATTTCAGTTATTTCTGTATAATTTAATTTGTTCATTTGACGGAATTATTTCTAAACATATTTGATGATCATTTCGATATCACCACAATGAAACCACGCAGAACGAACACATAGGAAACATTTAAAATATACATGATGTCGGCCAAAATTAAAGAATTTATTTTCATATAAAAAAAAAATTATATTTATATTACCCAATACAAATTTTATAGAAAAACTATGAGGGACCAGACAGAGCCTTTTGAAATCTTCTCATTATCCCAACATCAGAACGATTGTGGTGAACGTCAGCAACATCGGAACATGGAAATGAACATTAACGTCCGAACGTGGAGGTGAACATCATCAACATTGTAACATAAAAAATGGTTGTAACGTGTTGTTGTATTCAGTAAAATCGATTATTTAATTATTATTTATAAAAATGTTTATTTATTCTCTGTTTCATTTGATTTATTGTATTGTTATTACCGCGGGAATGATTGAATTGCGCTATATTATTGGGCGGCGTGATGGCTCAATGGTTAAAGACGCCTGGTCTTGCTATTGCAATGACTGGGTTCGAATACAAAGAGATCCCCGCCTATCATATGCAATGTGTATGATGCGTGGTTTGCACGCGTATTCATGTACGCTGTGTGTGTTTGTCGTTGAAACCTCTGAAGCTAACGCAATAGAGAGAGTAGCCTTTAACCCTTTTTAACCCTTATTTATTATTCGATTATTGTTATCCTTGGTATATTTGTAATTTTTGATGAGATTGTTAATGTTGTTAATTGTTGTTAGATTGTTATGCTAACTAAAATCGGACTATAAATATGTTCTGAAAAGTGATTTTACAAGTCATGTCCGATACGAAGTCGTAAATGTGATTTGTGTAGTGTAGTTACTGGATTAGTTTATTGTTTCTATTACTGTCGGTATTCAAATAAACGTTCAACAAAGCTTGCGTTTGAAGCAGTTGTGTTTATCTATCAAAAATTTTGAACCTACGAATAACGAACATTTAACGATTGTTGAAAGCTACAACACTTGTGTTGGGAATATAGAGATCATTGAAGTTATAACATCGGTGTTGGTAGTTAACAGACCAAGGGTTACAACAGTATTTTTGTGTATATTTATATGCATAGACCGAATCAGTCCAGTTTGTCAAATGTATATATGTGGAATTTATTTTGATAACTATTTATTATAACTGTATGTATTATTATTTCTTCTTCCTATAACTATTGTTATTATTATGCTGTAAAAAATTTTTAGAAAATATCTAATATGTAGGTAGAATCTGTCATGAGATCAACCTTTTCAACACAAAAGAATATGGAAAGTCTAAATGTTACAGCAATCTCAAAAATAATTTGCTAGATGGTTTTAGACACTTGAAAATAATAATTAATACTTTCGAAATTTTAGCGTTTGGTTTTTGTAATTGTTTAAATTTATCACTCCGACGATATTTGGTTTGATCAATTTTGTAATACCCTTATTATTTTGGGGATACTGTCATCCTATGTCATTTATTGCGATAGAATTGTTCATTCAAAGTTAATTTTATTTTGTTCTCATTCACTTCGAATGACAAGCTACGTAGAATATACTATTTAATTTTATCCTAGCTAACATTTTTTTCTTTTTCTTTATTTTTTGTACGCTTTCTTAATAAACTTTTTTACATCCAATTATGTTTTTATGAAGAAATAAAAATTGTTTTCATTTAAAACAACATCAAGTTGCATGTCAAAGCAGATCCGCATTGATACAATTGAGATAGTACAATTGATATACAGCAATTAAGATGCTACAATTGAGATACCACAACTAAAATACTAAAATCGAGATACAAAAATTGAGCTGCTACAATTGAAATACTACAATTGACAGTCAATCATTAAACTAATTTGCTATTTTGTAACAAATCCTATTTTTATATTAATGATTCATCTTTTTCTGCATTTGCAAATGACGAGCTTTCATTCTTTAAATTACTTTTATTATACAATTAATTGTACTTTCATAATGATATATTATTTTTGTTTTTTTTATTCATTCATTTTTGTATTTTTGAAAGTAAAAAAATTTACATTATATTAATATTATTAAGATTATTAGTGTGGTAGTAAAAGTAGTAATAGTAGTAGTACTGTTAGTATTATTATTAGCAGTGGTATTAGTAATTGTAGCAGTAGTAGTTGTTGTTGTAGAATGAATCATTATTATTATTATTATTGTTATAAACAAAAAATCAATCAGTCAATCTTCGTTTAGCGTTCAGAGACCCAGTACCCCGAGGTAGGACGTTATAAACAAAAAACTAAATTATAAACTTAAAAAAACAAAAACATGATTACAACCCTTCAAAAATTCAACCGTTTTCGCAAACAGCACTATAAGTGTTCCAAAACTCATTGACAAATCGCGCTTAGTGCGAAGTTACAAATGTTCATAATTTGGCATGCAAAAACGAAACTGGGTTCCAAACAATTCCTCCCGATGCTGACGATCGATGACAAAAAATCCTTACATTAACATAAGATACCCCTCTGAACATTTAAATGAAACTAACTATTTTGAAAAAAAAATTACAACACAAAGGCCAAAAACCGTATAATTAACAAACTCAAAAAAAAAAACATTAACAACAATCAGCGTTCCAAACACTAGATTCCAGTGGAAACTTCAACTCTTTAAATTGTAAATCATCACAGTTAGCGTTTAAATTTTGCTGATCTGAGTTGATATGAATTTGTCGCTCCATTTTAAATCAGGTGGCTTAAACATTAGATCACTCAAAAAATTTTGACCTATCGTTGAGAGTATAAAGCTTCGTATGTATCTGCGTAAAATCAAATGGCAATGATAAACTCAATTATTTATAGAGCGAGACAAAAAACTAGCATTCAAAACGCTTGGTTTAGTTACAAATTACAGAATTGGAACATATGTAATCAATTCGCTGCCAATTTTTGATAGTGATTAAGGATCACATTTCCACGGTTTGATACGGTTTCTATTCAAATCTGCTAAATATTTAAGGTTTGACAAACAAAAAATTTGTTAAATCAAGCTGCAGTATAATTGTGGCATTGAAAAGATACAAAACACGTCACAATAAAACTTAAAGTTTAATTATAGGAATGTTTATATAATGTGTGGAAAACAATTTTATCAATGCTTGCTGATGTACATTGCGACTGAGTCCATCCAGTGTTTTGACTCTTAAAATCTTGATATCACACATTTAAAATATCGAAACTACTACGAAAGGTTTGTCATAAATCCAATCTTCTCAACTTAAAAGTCATAACAAATTCCAAATGACTGAAAAATGGCATTGGCAATTCCCACTCAAAAAAAGAGATAAAATGGATTGCAGTAATTCAAGAGGCATCAGCCTACTGAATGTGCCTGACAAAGTTTTCAGGCGAGTAATTCTGAACAAAATAAAACGGATAAAATTGACAGACAGCTAAAAAAATATAAATGCAGTTTTAGAAAATAAATCTCACTTGCAATCAACACATGCAACTCCACACAAAAATAATTTATCATATATATATATATATATATATATATATATATATATATATATATATATGTATATATATATATATATATATATATATATATATATATATATATATATATATATGTTGGTAATAGACCATAATTTTTACAATATTCTATAAATTCTACCAAATGTTTGGCGTTAATATGTTTGTAGTTCGTTTTTTCAAGTTTTCTCACTAAAGTTTTTTGGTGAACGTCGTTTAGTTTATTAAAATTCAAAATACACTTATTTTCCGAATTCATGCCGCAGATAAGGCCATAATTCGATTCCGAATGAATCATCATCAGTGCTTTCTGCTGTTTATATAGGGAAATATTGACTTTGTCAAAAAGAATTTAGATGGAGATTGACTTTGTCAAAGTGAATTTAGATAGAAATTGTTGGTTAAGCGCCGGGTTGGAACAACAACGAAAACAAAGAAGTAATAAAAACTAGCATTGTAAATAGTGACAAATAAGAATATGATGCTATCCATGAAGAAAAGGAGACCAAAGAAGAAATAATAAATAAAAAAGGAGACAATAAAGAAACCTGACACCTAATTTCCATCTAAAGATACACTCCGATAACAAAACAGGGTGAAGGAACTCGAAGCTAAAGATAGCACATCGTCTAGGAGAAGATAAACTCTGATCGCAAACTTGCGTTGAGACCACGCGTCAAGCAGCATTCATCATACTAAATTGAATGGCAAGCCTCTGCAGTTGCAGTTTTTTATAGTCGTATTGGAGACAGTCCATGCCACTAGGTTCAGACGGCTGCAACAAAGTTTTGTAGACTGAGAGCTTTCGCAACTTCCTTCCTTGTTAAAATTCTCCTTCATCTTTTTTGCGTGTTAATACCGGTGACCGGAGATTTTTTAAAGACTCGCGGCAATGGATACACAGGTGACGGAGGTAGATTCAAGATGGAATTGAAAGATTCCAGTCTGTATATTGCACGCAGGGGGTTCTGGATTGATGGTCGCTGAGACTTGGAAAAAATAATGACAAATCTTTTTGGCAGCTTCCAGGGCAACTGAGCAGACCTATTTAAAATTCACATTTCTCGCCTCAAACGAGGAGCGGTTTAGAAGAAATGGCCTAAAAATCGCTTGTTCCCAACCTTATCCCAAATGGGTAACCGCGCTGATTTG